GGAAAGTACTCGCCAGTTGAAGCTCTTTCATCCGATATATGATTGTGCTGGATACAGTATGAAAAGTTCAATGGGCCAAATTACGGTCTTATGCGCCCCCGTCCTTTCATCGTGATCTGACTCTCCTTTCAAAAGTTATCGTGTAAACGGACGGCCGGACACACTGACCGATTCTAGAGTGTACTCACCTTTTAAGTACACAAAAACACGAATGATACACTAGATTAGTCATGGGTTATACTAGAGCAACGAGAATTTTAGTGTAGACTTGTCAAGTTAATTCACTACAATAAATAAATAATAGCATATATGTTATCTGACTGATGTTTATTTATTCCTTTTTTGTCTTTTTATCATTCATTTTTATTATCAAAATGTGTCGCAGTACATGAAAGAGAACATTAATAGAGCGCAAAGCAAATAGATGCATTGGTATTCTTACAAATCGTGGCAAGGTCCAATCGCTTTTTTCAAGCCGTTCTAAAAAAGACTAAAACAGTTGAAAAATTTCATAACATGACGGGAAGTTTTGAAATTCGATATATTAAACAGAATCACTGCTTCGGGAGGATTGGACTTTATTCAGCTCTAATATCTCCTGGTCGCTATATCGTTGAGATTGAATTCTAGAAAAGTCTATCATCAGCAATCATTTGCCTAAAGAAAGTTTTCAGAAAACTCCCTTACTGCAAGAAGAGGGTAGCAGTGAGTTTTTCGGTTCATCATGTTTGACAACGATAGGCATAGCCACTGGTTCCTCCATCTCTATCATTGATTGCTGTCTGACACGTCTGAACGGACTCTCATAAGCGAACTGCAGTGATGCAACTACTCAAAGATAAGATTATTCTGGAAACACGCTTTCTGTTCAGCGCTAGCCAATATACCAGGAATCCAGAAGTCAATGGGAAGGCTGGGATATCAAACTACCGTTGAACATAGAAAAACCACAGGAAAGTGTCTAGAAAGTTTGGGATATCTGGGATTCTTAGGAGATTCGTAGGACACTCGAGTCTTTCATATCTGGATTCTTATTTGCAGTATTACACTGCTTCGCTAATTGATAAGCTTACAACAAGCCACATGTGGGTGATGGCAGTGCATGTCTTAAATAAATATTCATATCTGCTTGTTTCTTCTATATCTGATACAATTTCTATAGAACATCAACCAATGAACATCAATCTGCACGGGATGCTGGGAACAGCGACTGATGAACAACTCTTCATTCACGAACGGAAAAATCAACCGATATGAAAGATGCAATCGCATAAAAATTCTACACGTATTTGAATTTCAATTGAGTTTTTAATTGCGCTCGCGCATGAAGTCTTCAAGACCTCTCAAACCTTCTGATATGCTAGACTTCCCAGGTGTCCAAGATACTTTTGATGTGCGGCTTTTCTATATTCACCGATAGTTTCGTATTCCAGATTTCTCACTGATATTCGGACTTCTAAATATTAGTCGTGTCTCCAGCGTTCTTTTTTCTCTATTACTCTGTGCATTTAATCAATCTTTCTTCAACCCATTATTTTGACGCAGTTTTTAGTTTGCTTTCTTTTTTGAATTTTTCTTTAATAAGTCCTTTATACAAGATAATAAGAAATGACAAGCAATATATATTCACATTACTCAGAATAGAATGTCGTAATAATAATATATCTAAGAAAATTACTGCAACTAAGTTAATACTTCTTATCGTTAGCTACATATTTGATCAAAAAAACGATGAAGGACAAGCCATTAAGTAAAATAATGATTGTTTGATGATTTGATAAAGAGTATGAGTAAGAGAAAAACGAGAGATAATAGTCACCTTCGACGATTTATCTTTTTTGTAGACAAACAAACACTTCTGACAGAACTTATTATTACTGTTGTTACTGCTGCCATTTTTATTTCATTTGTAATAGAATCTCTCGTATTAGTTGATGCTTCTTCGTTAAGAGAAGCAGTTCTCTACATTGATCATGAATAAACTGTCCTATTTTCTATCGTGCATGCTCAGTTTTGGGGTGTAGGATGTGGATCGTAATGGATAGTCAGGCACCAAAATCGATTTCTGAGTTCTGAATCTAAGTTGTATTTGTCATTAAAACTGCTATAGTTCTGTGTTTAACTGCACCTTTGATTCGAACTGCAAGCAAGTGGCCGTCTTGCAATAGCTACCAAAACGTAGATAAAATAGATGACTATCACTGATAGGATACTAACGGGTGGTGCAGAATGAATGGTCCTCTTAATATATCGATGAGAAGCTAGCACAACGCGATGAGCTAGCACGACGGAGGAAAAAATTTCATTGGTGATGAAGATAAACCAATGAAAAAGTCACCATAGTGAAAAGCACCGTTTTGAGGGTTTATGCGATGAAAATGGCAGACACATAGCAACCGATATAAAATACAACGATTCACCTAAAAAAAAAGGTATTTCGAATAAAGAAAACAACACTTCTAAAATAATTGGAGGGTATGGGTGTGGGTGTGTGGGTTTCGGTGTGGGTGAGGGTGGGTGTCGGTGTGGGTGTGGATGAGGTGTAGGCGTGGATGTGGGTGTGGTGTAGGTGCAGTGTATGCACGAGTGTGCGTGTATTGGATCTTTTCTTCTACACCTGCATCCACACTCACCCACACACCACACCCACACCCAAAATTTATTCAAGTTCATCAACCCGTTGAAGAACTGGGGCCATTTACTACAACCATCAGTGTGCAGAGAAAGAATCTATTGCTCTTTACAGATAAAACAGCAACATTGATTTTTCTATGATGTCAGAAGCGAAGTAGAAAATATGACTTTTTCTTCTAAATTTTTCAAGATCTGATGCAAAGAATGCGCGATTTGTGCTGTTAACCTACATTTCTGGTGGAGTGTGTACACACAAATTTTCAGACCTTCAACCTTTATGGTGGCTGAGATCCGAGAATGGAATCAAAAATGACGCCAGCTGGTACTAATAGAGTGAAAATGATCTGTTGTCTGTAAGCACAGCTCGATCAGAATGTAAAAAAGAATGAGCTATTTTTGAAGCTATAATCATTTTGTCAACATCCTAGCAAAGTTACTCGTTGCTTTTTTAAAAGAATCGAAGAGAAACTTTGTTTAAAAATCAGAGACTGTCACAAGGCATTTTATTTTGGTCTACAGGATTTAGGAATTGAGTTCGTGTATGAACAAAGTTAATAACTTAATGAAAAGTTTGTAATGTTTTTGATGTTCAGTGTTAATACACATGTCTGCAACAATGAAGAAACAGAAGTTATATTGGAAACGTTAAAATGTGATATTGAGATAGTGTAAGAGTACATCATTACTGAGAACACAGTTGTTTTTTATAACCGTTTTAGTTATATACTGCTGATATTCGACTTTGTATTTTGAAGTAAAGAAACCTTTTATGCAATGATTTATGTCCCAACTGTCATTAATGCATTATTTAAAGAAAAAAAAATATACAGAAATGATTACTGTAAGTACAGCAGAAACAATTAGATAAAAAATGTTGTTATTTGACCGAACGAATGGATGAGTAGGTAGAAGCATTTGTTCGGTATGTAACTTCTCTTGATTTGTTGAATTGTGATTAATAGTGTCAGTAAGAAATACGGGCTTGTGTATATCATCAGGTACCTTAGCATAGTCAGATATGTTGTTTGATTTTCTTCTTGGTTTCTTGATTGTCTTCTGTTTCGGCACATCGACGTCTGCAGAACTTATTTGTTTACGTCTCTTTGTTTTGATCTTCTCAGCCTGTTTTTCTGCGACAAATTGCTTGTCTAATGGATTTTCTACTTGATCTTGTAATTGTTTTGTTTTCATTATGTCATCATCATGAAGAATTCCTTCTTTCTGATCCTCTTGATAATTATCTTCGGCGTTGATTAATACATCAATTGCTCCATCTTTCAATCGACGTTTACGAAGTCTTGAATTATCATAATCTTGTCTTTGATTATTTCGTTTATTCTTCTTTGTTTGTTTTTCTGTTATTGTTTCATCAACATTTGGTTTAATAGTAGTTGACTTGACTAACCTGAAAATAGGCATTAAGAAAACTCTTTTTTAAAACTTCATAGATGCAATTTCTACTTACTTTCTATTTTTGACCTTTTGAATAAGACGTTTTGTTTGTTCAACGGTCACATTATCTTCTTTCAACACATAACTGATTTCATCCATTTTATTTTCTTGTGTTGTTTTTGTCATCTTATATATAGATTTCATTTGATGCATATCAACACATTTCGAGTAATATTCTTCGACTAGATATGATGTCACTCCGAATGTGTTATGCATCTGTTTAACACGTTTATTCTTGGAAGTCAAAATATGATTAATTCTCATAGTCATCTCTCGTTCATTAATTCCATCTTGTTCAGCTTGTTTTATTTCCTTAGCAATATCTTGATGAGCATCTTTCATAAGACGATCTAACGATATTTCTTCACGTACTCCACCAATAATAACTTGAGCTAAAAGTGTGGCATCGACTAATGGAACATATTGGCCACCCGTACTGTATGCCAGTGACATAAAAAAGTCACGATAAGGAACTAGTTAATGAAAGAAATTTATGATGAGTAAATGGTAAAGATAGAAATAACTGACGTATGAATGGTTCAACACCGACTGTATAGAGTGTAATGTGTTTTTCAGCCATTTCTTGAACAATTTTGATTGGATCAAAACCAAGAGGACATCCATTTGGAAAAGTATCATCATACGAATTAAGTCCATGTGGTGGTGCATCCGAAATAAGGATACAGATTTTAGTTGCTTCTGGACGCCATGAAAGTGTGAGAACATCATGAAGTGCATCGGCCACTGCTTCGGGTGTGTCACCACCTCCCTGTGCTTGACATCGTCCAAGCCACTGTTTCATCTCTTCTACTTTGTCTGTAAAATCATGTACACATGTCACAAATGTACTGTCCTAAATACACAAGTATCGTGGCACATTATTCTTATTATTTAACACAGTTACCTGAGGTGGATGGTCTCGATATTGAATAAGTGCCAATCGTATATCACTCTTTTCGTTATTTACAATTTCGTCGACAATGAAACGAATATTTTTTGTAGCGTTATCAATGTACACACCCATCGAACCTGTACAATCCATTGCAAATACAAGATCTATAATTGAAAGAATAGATTCTTTTCTACTAACTGTCCAATAAAATCTTTTAACGTTTACCCAGAAGAGACGAATCATATTGAATGAGTTCTGAGTCAATATTTTTCTCCAATTGAATTGTAGAATCCATTATTGAAAATTATGTGTATATATTTCTGATCACGAAGCAACTTTAAAAGAACACTTCTATCTATAATTGCATGAGACTTTTTTAATACTCACGATGTTCTTTCTTTTGAAATCAGTAGATTGTGTAATTTTGTGTGACACATCGACTGATGTGAGAACGGAGTGACTCATTACAAGTTTACTTATAAAACATCCAAGATGAAAAGCAATATTTACATATCAAACAAAAGTCGAAGAATGGAGTAACATGCAATGTATGGGAGTGCTTTATTTAACTATGAAATAGCAGATATGTTCTACGACTGTAACGAGAAATGGAAAATGAAGATTTCTATCGATAACCTGTAAAGAATGAATCACCTTTGCAAATCCTAATCGATGATGCTGTAATTTTCAAAAAAATCTCAATTTTATTTCAAGTTCTCAGCATACATCTGCCTTGAATACCATCAAGTATTATAGATTGTTCTTAACTAGTTACGTAACTTGTAATGATTCAATTTGTTCATCCCTTGTTCAACATTAGAATAGAGATATGCATCTCTGGTATACGATTACTGATAAAAGACAAAGTAATGAAATAAAATTAATAACATGCTCTCATATCTCACATCTATTCTTCGTCAAACAAATAAATCATTCTTTTTCCGCTGGTAGAACTCTATCTACAATTTACACAAATGATAAATTGTCTATCAAATTTAATGTTCATTTAAGAGAAGGCAAAGATAAGAAGACAAAAATCGATCAAGTTAAGTTTGTGACATCATATTATCACATATTTTGGTGTGCTAAAAATATGCTTACGTGCCAACAAAAACTATTTTTTTATTACTCATGTTCTAGTTTGAATCAGATGCGAGCACAGGACAAAACAATTCTGTCATTCTATGCTTTTATCTGTTTTAAATTGAGCCAAATGAATCGACAAAATGATAAATAAGCGAGCTATTAATTAAGAATCTCTAACACTGTCAATAGAAGCGAATTTCCACGGAATCAGAATGAAGAAGAGATGTTTTTGACCAGATATAACTTACAGATATTCAAAATTTATTCATCAAAAAAAAACTTTTAAGAATCATATTAATTCTTCCTTTTTTTCTTGTAAACATAAGTCAAAATATATTTGTACTTTAAGATCGTCGTGCCATGCCACTACATCTTGGAGCTTGTAAATTAGCATTAGCAATATATTGATTATCATAAGTTAATGTAAATCGATTGATACTACCAACAAAAAATGTTGTTAGTTGAAAACCATGTTTATCTTGTGGAATTGGAATTGGTATTTCAACTGTAGTAGGTGCGTGTACACCACATGTTGCACCAGCCACATTTGCCGTAACTAAAAGTTGTGTATTATTCAATTTGGATATTCCTACTTTGTCAACAAGGCAACAACATTCCGATTGAACACAACTATCATCTAAAATAAATGTACCCAACCAATTACTATCAACACGATGTGCCATGCCACTGCATTTTGGATATTGTAAATTGACATTAGCAATATATTGACTATCCGAACTTAATGTAAATCGATTATTAGTACCGAGAAAATTTGTTGTTATTTGGAAGCCATTTTTATCAGTTGGAATTGGAATTAATACTGAAATTGTTGTTGATCCATTTAATTGTTCTCGACAAGGTATACCGGCTACATTGGCCGAGACTAACAATTGTGTATCACTTGCTTTTGTTATTGTTGCTTGTTCACTTACACAACAACATTCATTTTGATTACAACTCTCATCTATATTGAACGTACCTAACCAATTTGGAGGATCTGCCGATACACATATATGAAACAAAAGCAAAGCAATCGTAGCAAAAATAATATTGATGCGCATTTTGCGATTTTGTGCTTAAATTACAGATGCTTTTTTTCACTGGAAAGAATAGAATCGTAGAACTAAATTTATATACACGCGAATATTTATTGAAGATAAAAATAAGTAAGGCATGCGTGAAGCAAATGACTTGTATTACAAAGGCATGGTGCAATAACGAATGAATATCTGTCGATATTCAAATTTCTTTGTTTCTTCAAAATTGGTTATTATTATTAACTTAGTCACACAACAACATTCATTTTGATTACAATTCTTATCTATATTGAACGTACTCTAACAAATTCGGAGGATCTACCGATACACATATACCGAACAGAAGTGAGGCAATGATAGGAAAAAAATAGTATTGATGCACCTTTGTCGATTTTGTGCTTAAATCACAGATGATTATTTTCCCTGAAGAGAAAAGAAGAATAGAACTATGAATATCTTTACATACACGCGGGTATCTATTGAAGATACCGATAAGTAAGATACTCGTAGAGCGAAAATCTTGTATTACAAAATACATAGTACAATAACGAAAGAATATCCGACAATATCAAAAGTTCTTTGCTTCCTGAAAATTAGATTCTGTTGAAAAAATAAATGAATTCACAATTTACACTATCTATGTAGTCACAATAGATCGAATCTTATGAATAGAATTGACTAGATCTAATGTATTTCGATAACAGAAAACGATCACATTCTATCTTTGAATATCCTTTCAATTTTTAATTGGCTACGAGGAAATTAGCTAATTTTTTAGTGTTAGATTTGATCGTTTTTGATAGTATATATCCGATTGAAAGTACTGAAATATTGTTTTCGACTATAAACGAAGAATTTTCTAAGTGATCGGATTTTGGTTCTGTGCAACGAGATCTTTTCTAGCGTGATAGATCTTTGTAAACCGGTTTGATCAAAAGTAATTATATATATCATGTAATTAGTCGATCTATTCATTCTTCGTACAGAACTAAAACGAAAATGTACGACCTTTATGTGTGATCATTAGTCCATACTTCAGATGAAGGACAACCTGATGAAAAAACGTTAACATTCTGTTATCAAGCAGTAAATAAATATTGAATGTCACATGTGGTAACAAGTATCTTTTAATATCACATATTTGTTCTTCGTCACACAAACAAGTTATTGTAGCTATTACATACATCGAATAAAAGAAGATAGTTGAAACATCGTGAAAGTAATTCGACTGTTTTTCGTTGCAGATGGAAAAGCTCACGCCAGAAGCAAACGAAGAAAGTATTGTCATAGGTAATGCATCCAATTTTTGGCGGTACTCAAATAAAACCGGTTTCGATTTGACTCGACAGAATAAGCATCAAACGTGTTCCTCCATTCATCTTGAAACAACAACTACGCCTATTATTATCAATCCAGCACGCTCAGCTCTAGTTATTATAGATATGCAAAATTTTTTTCTCCATCCAGCCATACGAGCGCATGAAACAGGTCTCACTGCATCAAAGCAACTACTCGAATATGCAATTCCAGCAGCTCGCAAAGCAGGTATTCAGATTATTTGGCTCAATTGGGGTTTAACTCAAGAGGATATAGATCAGGCGCCTCCATCATTGAAGAGAACATTTGGACGTAGAATTATAGATCAATCTGAAAATATGCAAACTCCAGCAAAGACAATTTACAGGAGTCTTGGAAGTGAGCTGGGCGACATTATATTGTCTAATGGCGATCATATCGATGGTGGAAGGTTACTAATGCGTGATACCTGGAATGCTAAGCTCTATGATCCACTTTTCCAAAGCTACGAAAGTAGTCAGCAGACTACGAAGCCTGATAAATGGTTTCATAAGGTAAGCTTATTTTTATTTATTGACGTGTTCATGAATTGACACTTTGATATGTACTAAAGAATCGTACGTCTGGTTTATGGGCACATGAGTCTCCACTACTCTCTTATCTTCACGACAACAAACTTATCACACTCTTCTTCGCCGGTGTCAATACTGATCAATGCGTTTCAGGCACACTTGACGATGCAAGCAACAAAGGTTTCGATTGCATTTTGCTTCGTGATGGATGTGGTACAACGAGTCCGTCATTTGCTCGAGAATGCATTGAATACAATTGTGCAGGAGGATATGGCTTTATCGTGGAAACTGAAGCATTTGCCAAAGGTGTGGAACAGAGATGTGCACCGCGCGCGCGGAGGCGGAGGCGGAGCGGAGGGCGGTCCGCACCGCTCGCGCGGACCACCCCGCCCTAATGTCAAACATGGCGCGGTTTTTGGGCGGCCGCACCGCCGAAAAAAATTTTTAGGGACGTCCGCTCCGCCCCCGCCGCTTCAGATAATATGTCCGCTTGGAGGCCGCTCCGCGTCCGCCTCTCTAGGTAATATGTCCGCCAGCGGTCGCCCCGCACCCGCCTCTCTGAGTAAAATGTCCGCCGGGCGGCCGCGCCTTAACATATTAGGTATTAGAGTTTCTTTTTTAGTTTCAACCTCGAAAGAACAAGTCAGTTTAGCGTTTTTAAGTGGGATCTATCTTTTTTTCGAGTTTAGTTATAAATAATAAAACCAGGCACGTCAGCTTAATAATCATTTTATAATGAAATAACATACTATTTTTAATTACTAATACTAATAGTGTCTAAGTAAATTAACATCTATGCTAGGTAGTCACGCATACTAGATATATTGTTCGCTTCAGTTTTTTGTTTCTCTAACAAAGCGCATCATTCTATTTAGGTAATATTTTACCCGTCTCTTTTGCCTCCCTTATATCTTTCCTTCACCTTATGTCTGTAACTTTTGCACGACTGTAGTTGATAATAAATAACGCCAATCTTTAACAAAAAACAAGCATCAAACATTGAAAAGTAACGGAAGCAGATTAAATCGTTAATAGTCATTTTGCTTGAGATACCTTTAACTTTTACCACCTCACTTTCATACTTATTGATTAAATCTAAAGATTGAATACTAAGCAATGTTCATTAAAAATTATTCCGATATTAAATCGACCTATATCTGAATTTGATGAGTTTCATTCGGAAGAATATATTGGGTTGGCGGAATGAAAATTAGACACTAGAAGAAGATATTCAAGAATATCTTAGCAACTTTTTCAGCTAAAAGCCAAAGGAGTTTTATGCTGAAGGCATTCATGCTTTGCCTACGCGTTGGCAAGCAGTAGTAGATAATGATGGCGATTATATAATTGACTAATATTATTTATTTATTAAATAAATAAATTTTAAAAAAAATATTCAAGTGTCCAATTTTCATTCCGCCAACCCAATAGTTTTTAAAGTTATTCTGAACTTGAATTTGTGCAACTCAAGTGTAAAATAAATTTACACGAAAAATAATGCTATATCAATACATACATGTCTAGTTAAATCTTGTTAAACAGTACATCCTTTCATGGCCCCTTCAATTTGATGTTGTCGTTCATATTTGAATGTTAATAAGTCCTCCTTTATGTGTTGAGCAATACTATAGTGCAATAAGTTTGGAAAAAATAGGTATAATGGATTTCTCCAGTTCTTATCAGGTGGACCGCCAGGCGGCCGCCCGGCGACCGCGCCGCTCTGCGCTTTGTTGAAAAAGAAAGCACAGGCGGCCGCGCCGCTCCGCGCCTCGTTGCAAAAAAGTGCATGGGCGGCCACGTCGCTCCGCACCTCGTTGAAAAAGAAAGCACAGGCGGCCGCGCCGCCTCCGCCAAAAAGCTCTCTGGCGGTGATCGCCTCTACCACGATTTTGGGACTTCCGCCTCCTTTCCGCGCCGCCTCCGCCTCGCTTTTTAGGCGCGGTGCACATCTCTGGTGTGGAAGTTTCTCTATATTGATTTTCACGACTTAAATGAAAGAACAGAAACAAAAGATCACCCAAGTTGACGATGAAATGATCGAAATCAAAGTATATAAAAAAATTTTTATCTTCCTATGATGATCTCCTTGAATAAATATTGCATGTTTATGAAGAAAATCGTGGATCAAATAAGTTAATATCGAAATGATGGAGAAAAGCAGTGACAACTATTGAATAGATAGAACATAGAGACTAAGGTGTTCATAGAGGTGATAGAAAACTTCACGTGCTTTCAGAATATATCATTACTTTTTGTTAAATACGTTTTTATTGTAACGATGTAACTGAAATACGGACTACAGCTTTTTTTTTCGGGCGTATGTAATGAACAACATATTTTCATTCAGTCAGTCAGAAATATGATTAGCAGAGAGTGATGCCTTGAACATTTTTCAATCTGGAGATACTGTATATGTTAATATTTAGTTTAGAAAAATACTGAACTGCTGCCCATGTAAAAAAAATTAGCAGAAAAATCAACAAATACATGATTTTAATCGATTTTTAGGTTAATTAATCGATGAAAATCCAGAAGTTTTGATTTTCATTGATTAAAATGAAGATTTTAATCGGTTTTTTCGCATAATCGCTACAAAATCATGTTTTTTTTCATCAATTATAATCAATTTTTAGAGGTAATCAATTTGAATCGGCATTTAATAATTTTTTTGTGTCCAAAATTAAGAGACATGGATTATAATCCGCTAAAAACGATTACATACTCGAATCGATTATAATCACTAAAAAAAATTAACCGTTTAGAATCAAATGATATTGATTTTAATCCACTGAAAACAGTTTACTTCTGGAATCGATTTTAATCACGAAACTCGAAATGAAGGAAAATCGCATATTTTCGATAAAAATCATGAGAAATCAATTTTAATTATCAGTCTCGTAAAGACGAATAACCCATGTAAAAAAATAAGGCTAAAAATCAACAGATACATGATTTTAATCGATTTCAAGAGTAATGAATCGATGAGAATCCATAAATTTCGATTTTCTTTTGCAATAAGTTGAAGGGTGTAATCGATATCTTTGCTTAATTGATTGCAAGTCAGCAATTTTTCATCGAATATCATCAATTTTTTTATTGGAATTGAATAAAGTCGATTATTAGCGAGTAGAATCGGTTTTCTACGATTTGTTTTTAATCAACTGAAATCAATTTCTCACGAGGGAGCATTCTCAACTGTCACATCGCTTTTAAGCTGAACGTGTGCGCATTATGTAGACCCTCACGATCTATGAATTCTCTGAAAAAAGTTCGTGCTGTTAGCTTCTTATTGCCGAGATACAGCGTTTTTACTGTATGTTTAAGAAAAAAAAGCCGTGGTCCCCCTCAGGAACATCGGAAAACTGAATTTCGAATTTCGTCTTGAAACTTTGCATAGATATAGGCCTCAATGAGAATAATTTATTGTGAAAGTTTCAGCTCTTTTCGCTGTTCCTATCCTAAGATATAGCTATCGTAAAATTGTTCATATACATCAGCAGATCCGATGTTCTTATCTCAGACTAGGAGCAACTAAAAAATCTGAAACCTTCACAGTAAACTATTCTCATTGAGGCCTGTCTACATGCAAAGTTTCAGGTGGAAACTCAAAAGTCACTTTTCCTGATGTTCCTGAGGGGGACCACGGCTTTTTCCCTAAACACACAGTAAAAATGCTGTATCTCAGCAGTAAGAAGCTAGCAGCACGAACTTTTTTCAGGACATTCATAGGTCATTAGGGCCTACATAATGTCCATACGCTCAACTCAAAAGCGATGTGACAGTTGGGAATGTTCCCTCGTCAGAATAATCATTTTTCATCAGTAGTTTATGATTTTTTTCTCGTCAAAACTCAATAGATACTGATTATAATCGACTGAAATTGATTACATTTTGAAACCAATTATAATCACTAAGTTAGGAATCATTTAAAATCAAGTCATATTGATTATAATCTAGCGAAATTGATTAGGTTTCCAAATCGATTATAATCATTAAGCTAGAAATCGTCTAAAATCAAGTCATACGGATGATAATCCGGTGGAATTGATTAGTTTTGAAAATCAATTATAATCATCAAGCTAGGAATCATCTAAAATCAAGTCACATAGATTATAATCCGCTGAAATCGATTACGTCCACAAATATCGATTATAATCACTAAGATAAGAATCGTCTAAAATCAATCCATACTTGGGGTGTGGGTGTGGAGTGTGAATAATAATAGTAACACTCACACTCCACACCTATACTCTAGGTATCATCCTTTAAATTGTGTCTCAACTTAATAAAGTATCAAGGGATAACAATAATTAATACAACTTAATTATAGTTGTTTATCATTTTATCGGATATTAAACTTTTCAAGTATATGCTATGGAAATATCTGGCAGTTACATTTGGATATTGTTACATACTGCCTCACTTCTTGTCTTTTCTGTCTAAGTATTATACATACGATATTATTCTTTCCTTTTTCGTCTGGTCTACTTGGGATGTGGATGCGCAAATGTCTCAATAACTCAAGAACACCAACACCCACCACATCCATACTCATTCAAATAAAAACTTCCAGATGTTTCTTTGATTCAAAAAATGGTTCGCACAGATTATATTAAAGCGTGAAGTAAGGTGAATTTATGTTCTCGATTTCATCATAATTAGTTCCGTTACATGAGAACGCAGGCATCGTAGTGTTCGCTGTATCCATGCCCACACGCGTCGCACCTGGGTCCCTGCCCTGTAAATGCCATACAAGAGCATCGCATGGATTTTCCGGCTCCATCAACGCTGGTCTCTGTTTCTATTGCTTCTTCGACCATTTGTGCTTTCTGCGAACTGAACTTTCTATGAAATTAAATTCAAGAGACTAGTGTAAGTAGCATCGAAATCGTACCTTTAAGTGTTGATTGGTATGCAACTGACGAGATTCGAAGAAAATGAGAGATATTCATAATTATTCACACACTTTTACTGTTTCTTGCATAATTGTAGCCGAGGAAGAAGAAAAAAACAACATATGCCGCCGTCTTCTGTAAACATTGTGTGCTGCTTATGCTGATATAGAGAGAGATTTTAGCACAGCTACATGTCAAAGGAAAATCCGTATTCTTTTACTTCAAAATTTTCGCATATTTCAATCTCACCAAGTTGCATTCTGAATGTGTAAGTGTGGGCGTATAGGCTTTCAATTAGACAAATCCACATTCACACTCACATCCCATACTCTTGAATTGTGTCTCATTGATTGTTTTTCTTTTCCTAGGAAGAAGGTACAAAGTAATAAAAACATAGGAAGAAGTAGAACGAACAAAAAATTTTCATCTAGAATTTTTTGTTGACAAATATGAACAAGAATCCTTATTAGTTTATGATTATATGTGTTATTATTATCTTCTGTATAATTTGCATTCTTCCATCTGAGCTGAATATCATAAACAATCAGCTGGAAGATAAGGAAAGTTTCTAAAAATTCGATAGTATTCTCTTTTTCGAACTTGCTGATTTATCCTAATTCTATACTTTTTTTAATCTCCCACTTCTCTACTGAAATTAAATGTGAGTTCAGATTATCACAATTGAATGGTTTACAATCATTATTGTAAACAATTTCATAAACATGTTATCTAAAATGAGATTGAGTATTTCGTACAGATTTTGAGTCTTGTGGAAAATAAAGTGGTCATATGTCATTTTGTAATATTTATTGCATTGTTTTATTTTCTACTAGTGATATATCTTTTGAAAATGAGGTTTAAAAGCACACTGGCCTTTCTAATTTATTTTTGACGTTAAACTTTTCATCTGAGCATTCTATTTGTTATACATATTCCTTTCACTCACAAGTACAAAAGATTTATTAAAACATATCAGAATTTGTGAAAAACAAACATATTCAAAAAGATAAATATATCGATTATTTTTATTGTTCTATGTGCATTAGCTTTCCTTTGATTTTTTACAATAAGCATAAAAGATTATGGTTAAGTTCTCTTTTGTTTTTACTTGAATAAGTTAAAACTTAAAAGATTTTTTGTAGATTATTTTCTATCGTTCAAACTTCAAAGGATGACAACATTTCCTACTAGAAAAATGTTATTTTCTTGTACATATTTGCCAATAATAATGTCTCTATTACAATTTATTAATTTAAATGCCCATGTTTACAACAGCATCGGGGAATTTGTCTAGAAAGAACTGGGTCATACGTATGAAATTTGATGTTAAAGATTGTTGTTCGATCACATTAAAATTTACTTTTATTCTCTTAGATATTGAAAAGAATTCAACGAGTATTGTTTTATGATTGTATCACTTTCGAGCAGTTTCATATAATTACTATGATTAAAGTAATATATTTTTAAAGGAAATATGAAAAAATACAGGAATAGATTGACATCTTCTTATATAGAATGCATTGCCATATTGTTGTTTAATATTTGAATACTGATTCACCATGAAAAAAGCATTTCTAATTAAAAAACAGACTTCATTCTATATTCTGTTTCTCGCCACTTATATAATTTTTTAGATCATCTAAGAAACTTTTCTTTAGAATAAATGTACTTCTGAGAGAACCATTTCAATTAATTCTCTTAATTTTAATCTTTCTTTCGTATTATAGTCTTTAATGTAGTATGTTTCTATTTCAATTTTGAATATTTCATTTCTTCTCTGACTCTGACGATGCTGGGGATGACTTCACTAAATTCCAAAATAAAAACAATTAATCTCAAAGAACTATTCTTCACATACACAAATGTGTCGCAATTTTTTTTCGAGTTTTAGTATTTCAAGTCTACCAGATTAGAATGATATGTTGAAGGCACAAAGAACTGAATGTTTTAAGGCTTAACTCCATTCTAGACATCAATGTAGAAAAACACTTTAGAAAAATCGATTCCATAAAATATTCAGTATGGGTGTGGGTGTGAATGTTTCCTTCTTTCGCACCCATATCGACACTTGAGGGTGTGGATGTGGGTGTGAAGTGGGCTGTAAGAGACTCGAAGATCCACGCCCACATCCATACATTCACACCTATGCTCACACCGTGCCCCCACTCAAATCTACAACACACCTTACACTTTATATCCACACTCGAGAATTAAGCAGGAAATGGAGACCGGAACCGATTCGGGAATACTACCCTCTGAAATTCACCGGATCAGGCGGTTTTTCGCCGTACGTCTTGAATCTGGGTATTTCTCCATCGTTTGAATTCAACAATATAAATGATGTCTATCGATTAGTATTTGCCTTTCAGAAATAAAAATCGTTTATCTTCTTCTTTGACACTCTTTTTACTTTCAATGAGCTTTTTACAATTCTTTCTTCTACACCTCATAATTGTTGTTTAAAACTTGTCAATGGTGCTCATATTGATAGAAGTCTACAAAAAATGTTACCAATTATATTAAAATATCTAACAGATCTATCATTGCCTATCAACGATGTAAAATTTGATGAATTTGAAATACTCATTAAAAAAAAGGAGGGTGGGTGTGTGGGTGTGGGTCATTATCCGTTTTCACCAATACACACATCCACCCACACCCGCACACCCACCCCACACCCTCTCGCTGAAACTAATAATAGCGCAAATATGTTTTGAAAGAAAAACTTATACCTATAGTGCACATGTTTTATTGACGGTTCTCATATTTTATTTAGTGAAATAACTTTCAAATAAATCTGTAGAAAATAAAGAAGGCAAAAGAAATAATACCAATGACCAGAATTCGATGAACAACAAAGAACCGTTATTGTTCAAAATTGTGGCTGAATGATAAATTCTTGATCGAAAAATATGAGTGAGATTTTTAAGAGAACCAGCATTTGCATATGGATTTGGGATCAATTGAAGAATGTGACAAGCAATATGATAAATATCGACATTATTTATAGAACGAATTTGAATGTTTTCATTAAAAGATGGACCACGAGCTAAAAATATGGCTTGCATTGATGGAAGTATATTATCCCATCCATGATGACCTTTCTTCGAATAGGAAGCATTGTACGTTGCCTGAGTTCCGAAGAGAAAATCGATGATGTAATCACTTATCTTAGTATTTTTCTACACTTACATTCAAAAATATGACACCTTCGTTTGGTATTACAAAAACTTCACCAAGTCGATGATCTGGTTTTGAATAGTGAAAGCGTTGTGGCAGTTCATTACGTTTATATACTGTTACATTGGGAATTCGACGTAGACCATCGATCACTTGTTGAGTCTATTTTGTTTTTGTAACATATCTTTAAACGACAAAAATCTTCTGTAAAATAATTAACTCACTTGTCCTTCACGTGGAATAACACTAAATTGACCACCAACAATAATATTTTCTTCGACCATGGATGGATCAATATATTTTTCAAAAAATGGTCGAATGATCTGTTTGACATTCGACATACCCTTAAAGTCATTTGTCAAAAATAAAATATTTTAGATGTAATTTAATCGAGCGATGTTTTTTCTTTTTCAACATACATGATCCGAAACAAAGATGATATTCAAATTGTCATACAATTCATTCTTCACTTTTCTCAATAAATATGTCACATCATTATCAATACGAGTTAGCTTGCAAAAAGAAAAGTATAATGCAAATTAATAGAATTCACCTTCTTACCGTTTCATGTACTTCAATCGAATCGGGACCTGAAGCATGGCCTTGTTTGTCTACTTCCCTTGAAATAAGAAAACAAATGTATTGAATCAAAATAAACGAGCCATCTTTATAACTGACTCATGATAGAGTAGAACAAGTTGAATAGGAAGCTCACGAAAATAAGACACGGCATTGTCGATTTTCTCACGAAATGGTATAGCGTCCGTGTATGACCAACTATAGATAAGTGGTCGAATACCATTAAATTCATTATAACATGCAGGTCAGAAGAGTACTGCCGATTTTTTAGCCTGAAAAAAGAAAAAAAAACTATGCAATTACCAGATGTATCAAAAACTACCTGTTTCGTTGCTGTGATCCAAATCGGTTCAACCTTCGGGTCCGACCATTGACCTTCATCACGACTGCCTAAAAGAATTCTAATTTTAATTTTTACACACAAAATATATAGGGTATCCCAAAAATCATATTTTCAAAGTAAACCATATAATGTCACTATTAATAAATTTAAATCGGCATATGTATTTTTCTATGACGGTGAATTCCCTAAGTTTTTATTCGTATAGACAAAGTTCACTAATACTACTCAAAGCCATCATCTTTGACAGCAGGTAGAGGGGTTTTCGGAAGGATTTTTTCCTCCCGCCGAATGTTGGAGCATTTTGTTTTTTTGCTCATCACTCTGCTAATTTTTATTAGATTCTGTCAAATTTTACACACAATCCGCTTTTGTATGCGGGTCAACTTCCCTCTTTTCCAAAAAAAAAATCCTAGCCACCTCGGGACATTTCTGTCTTTGACTTAAAGTCAAAAAATTTAAGCATTTTCTGCTTTTCCAAAAAAATCACGTTTTTTATTGCTTCAAATTCTGAACTTCAAATTATCCCAATATTCGACTGCTGTTCTACAAATATTAGTTTTGATATGATCTCATAGAAAGCAGACCAATAGTGTCAAACGTAGTTACTATAAAATTCAAGAAATTAGTTCATCACCCCCAATCTATCTATGATTAAAGATTTCATTAAGCGAGATACGATTTTGATTCAAAGACTGGAGATCAGAACGATCATTTTTCATCTCTATGACACGCCGATACATTTTTCAGTAACAACTTGTGTCCGACTGAACGCAATCTCTAAAGAGGCGAATTGGGAGAAGTGAATCGATTTTGTGAATTAATGATAACTACATTTGACGCTGTCGGACTTCTTTCTGAGCACTCATGTAGAAACTAACGTTTTTAAAACAACAGTCGAAGATCGAAATGAATTAAAAACATGATGTTTTTTAAGCTGCTTAAAGTTTTGAACTCAAATCAAATGCTATAGTTTGATGAAACATTTGTGAACGCTGTCTATATGACTAAAAACTTAGAAGGCTTCTCTTTATTATACAAAAAAGAAATTAGCCGACTCCATTTTATTAATAGTGAAATTATATGAATTTACATTTTCAACCTAATGTTTGGGACACCAATGTTTATGTACAAATGTACGAACTCATTGAAATTGTTTTATTGAGAAGTCGATCATAAAATTTATTGTGTATAATACCATGTTCGTCTTGGTACATGCCTAAAAGTGTCATTCATGATTAAACAAAACAAAATCTTGTCATTGAACGTACCTGTTACAATGGAAATATGATTGGGATAAGTCATAGTAGAGAATGTAGCTTGCATTCCTTCTGTAGCAAATACTCCTTCATTTCGAAATTGATTCAATGCTGGTAATGCATGTGTATGAAAATATTGATGACGAAATCCTTTGAATAAAAGTAAAACTTGATATTTCGACTAGTGATAATATAATTTTCTTCGTACTACCATCGAGAGAAATGATGAGAAGACGAGAAAGATCTGTGGATAATTGTTTTGGAGCACCACCTATTGGCAAAATTTGAAAGACAATAACTAACAATAGTGTCCACTCGTACCCAAACATATGTGGGCGAAGTGCTATTTAACAAATGAAAGGTGCAATAAATGCCACCTTATATTTAAAAAAAACTGAGAACTATTTCTCTTGTTTGCTATAAAATGACATCATAATCAATTCTTATCTCATAGAATGCGTCTCTATATAGGGCATCGATGTCAAGAAAAGAAAGGACGAGCGTATTTGAAATTGATCAAATATACCACTATCTTTCCTTATAGCGAAATAATAAAAAGGTCGCCCAAAAAGAAAATGGCAAACATTGAATTGCTTTCAAATTTTTATTCTGATCAAGTTAAGTTGGAATCGAAATAAGTTGCATTGCACAGAAGAAGTGAGATGATCCTAGGAGGGTGTAGATGAATGCGAGTGGAGTGAGTGATATGGTTGAAGGTATTCTCTTCATCTATACCTCACACCCATTCACTATAATCTCGATTGAAATGAGTTTTATTTAAGATAATATTCTGATTTTGAAGACTGTTCCTCATCTTTAGCAAAGGTTTCAAACTAAAATCGTGAATTTTTCAGAAAAATTTGATCTTCTTTGAACATCTTAGAAATCGTTAGTGAATTTCCATTATTTGATAAGAATCATATTCGCATGGAAGAAAAGACCTTTGTCGCTGTAGATTTCTTTGAAACGTTTTCTTTTTTTATAAAACTTCTGTGAAAATAAATTCCAATGAATTTTGATAAATCCGCTCAATAGAGAAACATATCAATATGCCCATCGAAATGTTTAGGAAAAAAAGTGTGAAGAATTCAATCGACCGTTAGATCAACAAGAGAATAAATCGCTTGACAATTGATCAGGGCTCACCATAGTTTTCATAGAAAAGAATCAGTACACTTCATTGTGTGAGTAGGTGTGGGTGTGGGTATGGTTGTGAGTGTGGGTCCCCATCTTCTCTATATAAGTTACACACCCACCCACACTCACACCCTAGAGTGTGAGTGTGGATCCGAGTCTTTGTTTGAGCCTAGATGTGCGGTGTGGATGTGGGTATGAAGTGGACTGGAAGAGAATCGAAGATCCACGTCCGCACCCATACATTCACACCCA